CACACCCAGGTTCAATTTCCCCTTCTGCTTTAAGGCGAGCAAAGATTTGCATAGAGGTCCCCTACTTCTCAGAAAAGTGCCCTGACCTCTAGGGTTTGCAATACTTTGATGTGAGTTTCTCTCAATCTCTTCTGTTGAAGCTGTTCCACTTTGGACATCTCCGCTTTCTCAATAACTCTTATTGGCTAGTTTAAATGGTGGGTTTTGTGGGTCCCATTATCACACATCGATCTCTCCCCATGCATTGTATAAAAGGCTGGGCACCTAACTCAGACTTTGTGAATTCAATTGTTCTTGTGATTTTCTAAGCACCTAAAAGTTAGGTGTTACAACACCTAGATCCCTTTGTATATCTGTACCTAATACTCTACAACTCCGTGATCTCCATTTTTGAGTCCTTCTCCCATGAGAATAAATTCAGTGGCTGCCTATACTGTTGTTTATAACTTTCCCAAGCAACAGTAGTGTCAATAAGAAACCATCATGATTCTTACCAGTTTCACTACTTTCCACAGTGTTCTAACTATCACCTGTGAAACTGATCAGAATCTTATTAATTTCATTCTGCTGTTGATTATCAAAGCTAGGAGCCATTGCAGTGACAGTGGATTTACTTGTTTGCAGACTAGGAAGACGGTACTGCATTTTTTCACATTCTGTTAACCTTCCAAATGTTATTGTCATAACCATAATAGAAACCATAAGAGCTAGAATCCTAATTGTTTAAAAATAACTTAAATTCACTTAAAGTGTGAAAGTTTAGGTATCCATACTCACCAGCCAAAGCTTTCCAGTTGTCATGAATTGAGTACATTTTTTCAAGCCCTGCTAAAACTTCTGAATTTCTAGACTAAATCAAGTATTCTTTTATATACTATTGCTTATACAAAGATATGCAAATATCTTTGTGAACTGAATATATCTGGAGAGGAGGAAAGATCTTAAAAAATTAATCCTTAAACTCACTGAAGTGGTTATATAGTTTGTTCTCCACATCTCTAGAATTAAAAAAGCTGTAAAATAAACTCCTTTCTTTTTTGTTTTGCATTCTCTCCACCAAGATCAAATTCACCTTGCCTTGATTAATATAAAAAAGCTGTTTTAAAAGTCTTTGCAGATATATTTCAGCATCTCCAGAATTTGGAAAAATTTTGTGGAAAGTTAGGGTTACCATACGTCCTCTTTTTCCCGGACATGTCCGGCTTTTCGGCACTCAAACCCCCGTCCGGGGGGAATTGCCAAAAAGCTGAACATGTCCGGGAAAATGGCAGCTCTGCTCCTCCCCGACTCTTCGGCTCTGTTTAAGAGCCAGGCTGCCCGAGCGCTACCAGCTTCGGGCAGCCCCCGTGCCTCCAGACCCTGCGCCCCCAGCCAGGCACTTCCCCGCCCGGGCTCCGGCGGCGCAGGGTCTGATGGCAGGCTCCCTTAGTCTCTCCTGTTGAAGCTATTCCACCATGGATAAATAACAAAAGAGTGATTGGAGCAGGGGGACTGGAACCTGAATCTCCCAACTTCCAGCTCTCTCTCATTCAGTGACTATTCAAGTATTTATCCACGGGGGGAAAAGTCATAGGACCAACAAGAGAGAAAGAATAACTCGTAGACTGGTAGGTAGGCCACCCATGTGGGAGACCACAGGTGCAGTCCCCCTTCTCCAATCACTCTTTAATTATTTATCTACAGTGGAAAAGCTACAACAGGAGAAATTGAGGGACCCCCACACCAGAAGATCCCATAGCCCAGTGGTTTGAGCACATTCCAAAAAGAGAGAAGATCCCTGTTTAAATCCTTTCTCCCCTGCCAGCAGAAGGGGGACTTAAACATGGGGCTCTACATCCCAGATGAGTGCTCTAACCACTAGAATAACAGTTATACAATGAGCACCACCTCCTCTGGCTGTCTTGTGTAGAGCAAGGCAGACACCTCACTCATTCCTGCAAAAAATAGCTTAGACACCTAAGCCTCCTGACTCCAGGAGATGGGCTCCCATGCCTAGCATGCTGGTTTTTGTGGATCACATCTTAGGTACCTATCTCTCCCCATTCATTGTATAGAAAGCCTAAACGCTAACCTCAGGCTTTGTGAATCACAGTGTTCGTTGTTCCTGTAATTTTCTGACCACATAAAAATTAGGTGCTGCAACATTCAGCATTGCAATGCCTAAGTCCTTTTGTGGACCTGACCCAAGGCGCTCAGAACTTTATATAATATTCTAGCAGAGGTATATATAGAGAAAATTGTCTCGTGAACTCATGTTTGTGCATTTGCAGCCAATAATTGCCCAACAATTTGAAGGATGGAAATGCCACTAAACTTATTCACAGGACTCAAGAAAAGAAAATAGGATTCACAAAAGATCTATGGCCTGTCTAAATCAAAGGACGGAAACTGTCTAATGTTCATCTTATGGAGAATGTGGGATGAATGTGAGTGCAGATAAAAATACCAGTCAAAGTCATAGACTGATTTAAATGAAAATCCTGAACAAAATTGGAAACAAATTTGAAATGAGCATCAAAGACCAGCTGGTCTTGGGGAAAATGTAAAAATGAGGTTTTGGACATGAGGCCTGTAGCTTACTAGCACATACTGTAGATGTGAGAACTATTAGAAAAACATAATTATGATCTAGGAAATACACACTTATGGGTTCTAAATGGAGGACTCATGAACCTCAGAATTAGAGATAAATGTTCTATGCCAGTTGGGGTTCCAATCTTTCAGATGTGGTAGAGCATAGATTATAGTTCTGAGTTCTTCAGAGTGGTGATTATACAGTTCTTTGTGTTTCTACAGAGCCCAAATCCTGACTGGAGACTTTGTGAATTAAAAGCAATAATAGTAATAGTTAACAAACAGTTCTCTATATACTGATCACTAAAATAAGATTCAGATTCAAGTTTATTGATGGTTCATATGAACATAAGAATGGCCATACTGGATCAGACCAAAGGTCCATCTTGCCCAGTATCCTGTCTTCCAACAGTGGCAAATTCCAGGTGCCCCAGAGAGAATGAAGAGAACAGGTAATCATCAACTGATCCATCTCGTCGCCCATTCCCAGCTTCTGGCAAACAGAGGCTAGGGACACCAACCCTGCTCATCCTGGCTAATAGCCATTGATGGACCTATCCTCCATGAATTTATCTAGTTCTTTTTTGAACCCTGTTATAGTCTTGGCCTTCACAACATCCTCTGGCAAGGAGTTCCACAGGTTGACTGTGTGCTGTGTGAAAAAATACTTCCTTTTGTTTGTTTTAAACCTTCTGCCTATTAATTTCATTTGGTGATCCCTAGTTTTTGTGTTATGAGAAGGAGTAAATAACACTTCCTTATTTATTTTTGCCACACCAGTCATGATTTTATAGACCTCAATCATATCCCCCTTTAGTCGTCTCTTTTCCAAGCTGAAAAGTCCCAGTCTTATTAATCTCTCCACATATGGCAGCCATTCCATACCCCTAATCATTTTTGTTCATATGCTTGTTTTATGTTATAGCCCTGTTTTTTACATTTCATGTTTTGTGTCTGTAAGGCCTAATTTAGGCAAAGATTTATGCATGTGTTTAACTTTATGCCCTATGAATAATCTTATTGAAGTTAATTTGATTATGCATAAAGTTAAGCACCTGGGTATGACTGATTTGGCTGCTAACATTAAATAATAAATGTTTTTTTTATTATTACATGATAAGTCAGTGCTGGGAGGGGCTTTGCTCATAATTATTGTTGTTTGTTAGTCCAACTGAGGCCTCTAGAAGGGGAAAATGTTATTTCTCAGATATATTGTACAGAGTACAATGCTTCTCAATATATTTAAGGTAGACTTGTTTGTTTGTTTTTCTTTTAAATTTTGATATATATAATGAATTCCAGAGACTGTGTGATATCAGTTTCTAGGGTTTTTTTCATGCATTTTGTAATTATTATTGGGAACGTATATGCAATTAAAAAGAGAGAAAGAGAAAGACTGTTGCCAACACCTTGAACTGTACCCAAAAGCAAACAAAAAGCCAATCCAGAGCTTTGAGCACAGATGTTGTGTGCTCATAACAGCACATCCCACTTAGAAATTGAGCAGCATTACCAGAAGCTTTGAGGTTTATTTATTAAATTTAATGGACACAATCAGTTACAACAATTACTGTAGGAAAGGTTTACTACAGACACAGGGTGTGATATTGCAATCTTTACTCATGGCAGAAGTCCCACACACTTTAATAGAACTACTTCTGTAAAGACTGTTAGTTAAAGTAAAGGTTGATGGATCAACCCCTATTTGTGATCCTCATGCTAAAGAGCTAGCCACTAGAAAATAAATGTTTATTTCCAAGGTAATATTTTCTAATACTGTGTGAAAGGTTTTTGATGATTATTTTTGGAAGTTCTTTTAAAAATGCTGTATTTTTCATGTGATGTTCAACTGTTTTCTCCTACCTCTTTGTATGGGTTTTCCTTTAACTAAAATATATACTTAGAATAATAATTAATAGTAATATGTTGCATTTCTATAGTATCTCTGAGCTGAGGATTTAAGGACCATCTCCTTTGCAAAGAAAAACTTTCATCATATGATGTGACATTTATGTCATAATTTCACCATACAGTGACACAAGGTGAAGACTTTTTGACACAGTGTCATGGCATGACATGATAACATTTTAACGAAGTACAACATAATTATGTTTGGACATAACTTCATAATAGGTTGGAATTTGATTCAATATGATTTGATTATGCAAAACAATATAACAACATACACGGCAACACAAAACTGGCACATTTTAACCTGAAGTATCACAATATCCTGAGAGACCACCCATTACCTCAAGATGACATTTCTTCAAGGTCTGAAAGCTATTTCCATGACCAATTAATCTCGGTTAAAATCATGCCAACCCTGCATACTTTCTGGCAGGCACCGACCCCACCCCTGAACCTGCTTCATAGGCACATGAGACTAAACAAATTAAAAACCTGTTTACTGGCAGCAAACATACCACAGTGTTTCTCATCATGGCTTTAACAGTGAATCCATCTGTGACCTGCTGCTTGGTTCTCCTCAGCTGCCCCAGTGGCTGCTGTTGTTGTTGGGGTCTCTCTCTAGTGAGTTTCGGGGGGCTCGAACCATCTTTCTCTGCCACCATGTCCCCAGGCACCTTTGTGGGGGACAGGAATTAAATATATAGGCTAAAAGAATAAATTGGGAAAAAATAAATCCTCCTCACCATCCTGCTGCCTTTCCTCACCCCCTGCTGTCCTTCCTCTTCCTCCTCACCCCTGCCCCTGCCGCCCTTCCTCACCCCCTGCTGCCCTTCTTCTTCCTCACCCCCTGTTCCCCTTCCTCACCCCTGCTGCCCTTCCTCTTCCTCCTCACCCCTGCCCCTGCCGCCCTTCCTCACCCGCTGCTGCCCTTCTTCTTCCTCACCCCCGCCTGTTGCCTATGGAGGCTCCTGTGAGGGGTCTGGCTGGGAGGGCGGGACACTGCCTCACTTTGTCGCTAACACCAACACGCTTCCAGGGACGCCTCACGGTTGCTAGGCAACGTGTCAACAACCTGCCCGGCGTCTGTTTGCGGTCACGTGAGGGGGGGTGAAATTGCGCCGATCACGTGGAACAGCCCCGGCGAGAGCAGGAAAGAGCGTACGCACGAGAGAACTACGCTACCCAGAGTACTAAGCGATCGGCAGGCACGCTCCAAGTGTGCGCATGCGCACTATGACTCAGCAGTCCCGCCGGCTCGCCCCGCAGTTGCGTGTTCAGTCAGAGTGCTGAAGGCGAGAATTTGAGCTGCGAGCGCGGACGGGACGGGTGCGTGCGCGCGCTCCCTCCCCTCCCCCCACCGTGGCCATGATAGGTGAGTGAGTGAGACCCGGATGCAGCGTTCCCCCCTCCAGTTTACCCCCCCCGCAGCCTCTGGGCCCTGCTCTGCCGGCGCAGCAGTGAGCAGACTGTCGTGTCTCTTCCCCACCTGGGCCCCCGGCCCCGCTCCCACCCCGCACACGCTGGCTCGGGCCGCCTGCTCCTTCCCCCCTCCCGCCCGCCGCCTGCTTTTAGGCCTGCCTGGCACTAGCTTGTTCGTTATCAGTAGTGTGGTGGTTCTTCGCCCCCGCCACGAGGCCAGTCCCGACAACACCGAGTGACCACCTGCCCAGCCATCGACATAGACAATACTGTGTGTTCCCCCACGCACCCCTCTCCAGAGCATACCCACCCCACACACAGTACACATCCCCTCCACACAACACACCCATCCCGTATGCACACCCCAGCATAACACACCCACCCCGTATGCGTGCTCCCACACCATACACACACAGTACACGCATACTGTGTGCACCCAGAGTACATACACCCCCCCGCCCCATGCAGTATGTGCACACACCCACGAACGGTACACACAGTACATACGCATGAACACACTTTGTGAATTGAGATCTTGCAAGTCTGGATTCCTTATTTAGCCAGCACCATCAATGTGGATGGTGCTTTACAGACAAATGATAGTACAAGGGTCTGGACTCTCCGCTGCTTTGCAGAGTTAGCTACACTTGTGCAAAGCAAGTGTAAAACCCTACCAGAAGAGTATGGGAGGTTTTTACACCCGCTTTGCACTGGCATCTGTTAGCACAAAAAGAGTGAGACATTAAAAACTTATTGTTTTTCCCCTTGACCCTCCAGAAAACACTTGCCTATTTCAATGAAGTGCACCCCTTTTGTCCTTTCACCATGTGGTCTGCATATAAATCTTGATGTATGCAGTAGGTCCCAGGATATTAGAGAGACAATGTGGGTGAAGTAATATCTTTTATTGGAGCTTTGTGTAAGCTCAAAAGCTTATCTCACCAACAGAAGTTGGTCTAATAAAAGATATTACCTGACCCATCTTGTCTATAAATCTTGATGGCTGCTGTGAATAAGTCATGGTTCATCTTGATCTTTCTTCACTGCCTTCATGCGGGTTGTGAGTTGCTGTCTTGTGCAGTCCTGCCGTGCTATTATCCCTTCAGGCACCAGGAGTGGAGTGGAGCAATCAACCTATATTCTGACCTCACAGATAGTGGCCAGGGGGAAGTGGGGGGCAGGAGAGCACTGGGTAAGATGACCAGGGTAGTCCCAAAGTTGGCAACATGTACCCCTTTGATAGTATTACAACACATAACAGTCCAAGTAGCCAAAATTTCCCTCTAGTATTGGGAAGAAGAGGCAATTAATCCCCAATACCCCCATTCCCTCATTGTGGGCCCCACAAATCACAAGAGCCACCATGTGTTCCCCTCAAAAACTAAATTTTCCTTTTTACATGCTCCCCCTCTTTCACTTTCATTTTTGTTATGTGGTTAATTACAGATGAAACAAAAAGAACATAAAATTGAGGTGCTAGATAAAGTTATTTATGCTTAAAGGAATTCTTCCTATCCCCCTGATTTTAAACAGCTTTTTTTCTGCCTCTCACATTGTGTGTTTGTCTCCTATCTGAGACCTAATCAAGACATTCATCCTCTAAAAGTTTTGTAACTGAATTTCTTTGGAAATTGCTGCATAATCTCCATTATTTTACAGTTAGAAATTCTCTTTCCTTTCTCATTAATGTATGGCTTTCCAAAATGTTAGTGTGCTGTTATTGTCTTTAAACCATTTAAAAGGCAAAAGAAAGTTAAGTGTAATTTTGCAACTGTAATTTTTTTTATTCTATGTGAATATTATATGCAACATTTACTGCAGTCTGTGCCTAATTGCATATATCTGTTTCTTTTTTTTCTAATGCAGTAGAGAGCATTTATGAGACAACTTGATTTAATGAAAAAGTGTTTTCATATCCAAATATTTATATATCTTGATGAATTCTACAGAGTTCAGATTACGTTATGTGCTTACAGAACTGCAGTTCTTGTTCTTTCTAAAAATTTCTTTAGCAAGTTAATGTAATACAGTTTAAAAAGGCATATGTGACTTAAAATTTTGAAGGTAAGAAAGGCTTGAGTGTCATTTGCTTCTTATTGTGTAGCCAGTAGATCTTGCTTGAAGACCATGACTATAGACCATGAACTGAGCCCTAGACTTCCTGTTAGGAATAAATCTGCACAAGTCTTGGATTTGGTTTGCATATGACCTAATGCAAATTCCCTAGTTGACCTGAGTTTGTAGAAAATGACCTACTAAGACAAAAACTCTTAGTTTTAAACTGATCAACTTTAAACGGATCATTTATAAACTGATCAAGAAAGTCTCAAAGCAATTGTCAGATGCTAAATATATATGTGTGTATTTTAAACATATAATGTTTTTTTCAAACCTGACAAAAATACAGGAATCATATATTCTTACAGTATAGTGTTCTTGTGGATGATTTAGTTAGGAATAGTAATGACTACAGATCCAGAAATTTGATCTCTGTGGTTGGTCCTTGCACTCCTATAGAGAGCCCCACTGACTTCAGTGAAAGTTTGTGTGGGCATAAGGGTGTGGCCCACCTGGATCAGATTGCAAGTCTATGGGACCATGCACAGTATATAAAGTTAAGCATGTATCAAAGTGCTGGCAGCAACGAGGCTGTATTTGTCTTTTCACTGTAGCAAATAGTGAATGTGTAAAAAATTTTTAAATATATTTTGATTAGTGGCAAATTATTGATACTACAATATATTAATTACTTAGAGCCTTGAGTGATTTATGTGTTGGCAAAAAAAATTTATTTGAGACAAAAAGTAGAAAAAAGGTTAGAAGTATATAGAACAATGCCATTCTGTATCACATCCAAGGTCCATCTACTTCAGTATCCTGTTTCTGACCGTAGCCTCTAGATCAGAGGTCTCAAGCATGTGGCCCGCGGAGTTATTTGCTGCGGCCCGCCGAGCTCCCAGTGCCCTCCAGAGTTATTTCCTGCTACTGCCAAGCTTCCCTTACCCACCGCTCCCCCCCCCACCTGCCAGCGCGCCGCGTCCCCATTCCTCTGCTTACCTCCAGGTGCTTCCCGCTGCCAAACAGCTGAGAGAGGGGAGGAGCAGGGAGCCGCGCTTAGGGGAAGAGGCGGGGCAGGGATTTGGGGAAGGGGTTGGAAGAGGCGGGGTAGGGCCTCATGGAAGGGGTGGAGTGGGGGTGGGGCTTTTGTACCTTTATATGAAAAAGTGTCAGTGATGCGGCCCTTTGGCCAATGTACTAGTCCTTATGTGGCCCTCGTGGTGATTTGAGTTTGAGATACCTGCTCTAGATGCTTCAAGGGAAGGGTAAGAACTCTACAGTAGGCAGATGAGGGATAATCTGCTCGCAAAGGTCTCATCCCGGTTTCTAATAGTTAAGATTGGTTTAAAACCTGAAGCATAAAGTTGACCGTCCCTTCCAAAATTTGTTGTAATTAATTATTATAACTGGATATTCCTGATATTCATATAAATATCCAATCTCTTTTAGAATCTTATAAAGTTCTAGGCCTCAATGACTTATTGTGGAAAGGAGTGCTACAGTTAATTACATATTGTGTATAAAAGTATTTCCGTTTATCCAATTTTAATTTCCCACCTTTTAACTTAATTGAATGCTCCTTTGTTTGTGTGTTATGAGACAGGGAGAACAGAAGTTCCAATCTACCTTTTATATACCATTTGTTATTTTATCATGTACTTCTTATGGTCTACTTTCTATAGTAAACAATCCTAAACTTTTCAATCTCTCTTCATATGAGAGTTTTTCCAGACCCTTGATTATGCTCAGTGCGCTCCCCTATAGTTTTGCAATATGCTTTGTGAGCTGTGTTGGTAGTGCATGCAGTATTCCAGATAAGGCAGTGCCACTGAGTGAAGTAAAAGTATTATAATGTTCTTAGTATTATTCACCATCTCATTCCATATGCATTCTAAGACTTCTTTGCTTTTTTGACTGTAGCTGCACAATGTGGATGGATTTTCATTGGACTGTCTACAGTGACACTGCAGTCCCATTCTTCAGCCGATACAGTTAATTTAGAACCTGTAAGGTGTATGAGTAAGGTAGTTAATTAAAAATCCTATGTGTATCAGGTAACTTTTCAGAAATAACAGCAGCATTTTGGTTGAAAATGAGTTACCATGTAGCCCAAGACTTTAATGCTGACATTTAATTTGAATTGTATTAAAAAGCATAACTTGATATGTGTTCATTATTTCAGTAGAGAGGTTACTCTCCTAAGCCTTCAAAATATGGAAATATATTTATTTTTATTTGTGTGACATCTTTATTTGGAACATCATACCAACAAATTAATTATGGAAGCTGTCAATGGACTTCTGATAGACTATCCATGGAGAGACTGATAGACTAACAGGGTTTTGTCCTACAAGCTTTACTGTTATAGATCTTCATTGAAGTCACGAGTGTTTCCTGAATTCTAAGTCTAAGATACATCTTTGAAAGTATTCAGCAAGATAAATACCAAAAACAATATTTGTTGCCTAAGCTCTTGAAGGAACTGTGTGTCTCTTGATGTTTTCCCCTTTTAAGTGAAGTTGCAATACTCTGACTCCAGAATTGCCCATTTCATTTATTAATAGTTTTTAAAACTTTGTAGCCTATTTATATATAATTTCAGTTTGCTGATTGGCTATGCAGTTAATGATTTCAGTAAAGTATTTAAAAGAGCAAAGAATTTAAGCATTTACAGATATTTAGAGAATGGGTCATTTGATTTGGTATTTCCCATTTAATCAAAAGAATATGGATGTACAGTAATTGATGGGTGCAAAACAGGACTCTTCTCGTGAATTACTGACTGCGGATGAGGACAGAGTTTGTTTTCCTCTTTTCATATTTGCAAAAAATAAAAAGCACCTGAACTGAGTTTCAATTCAAAATTTTCAACTTCAGGGATCAGTATTTTATTTT